GGACGATGTACCCCCTAAGGGGGTACGGTCGAAGACGCAGAGGGCAGGTACCGAGGGTTTGGGATTTACGTGCTAAATGGCACGCGAACAGTTTGAAGCTAACAGTCTTGGCATGATGGTTGTGGTTGATGATGGTGATGTTGATGATTATGACGGCGACGACGACTGCATTGATGCAGATGATGATGAGAATTCGGATGAGGATGAGGATGATGGTGATGGTGATACTGCTGAACAAGCTCATGCATTTCTTAATGCTGATGGTGATTGTGATGCTGCTGCTGCTGCTGCTGATGATGCATAGTGTGTTGATGTTGATAATGTTGCTGATGATGCTGATGCTGATATTGACTATGATGAGTTTTGACGGTGATGGTGATTCGGATGATGCCGATGTTGCTTCTGCTGATGATGATGCTGATGGTGATGAGTATTAGGATGCTGATGATGATGTCGATGCTGCTGCTGATGATGATGATTATTATTAGTATTATTATGATCTGTACTGCTATCATGATGCCGCTGATGATGCTTCTGCGGCTGATGATGATGATGGTACGGATGATGATGATGATGATGATGATGATGATGATGATGATGATGATGATGATGATGATGATGATGATGATGACAATGCTGCTGCTGATGCTGCTGATGATGCTGATGACGCTGATGACGAGTACTAAGATGATGATGATGATGATGCTGGTGATGCTGATGCTGATGCTGATGAATGATGATGCTGATGATCATGATGCTGCTGATGGTGATGCTGCTGATCGTGATGACGATGCTGATACTGATGATGACACTGATTATGATGACGAGGATGAGGAGGAGGATGAGGCTGAGGATGATGATGATTATGAGGCTAATGATGTTGATGATGGCGATCATGCTGATGATGGTAATGATGAGGCTGATGATGATACCGATTCTGATGCTGATGGTGATGATGGCGATGCTGATGATGATGCTGATGATGATGATGATGCTGATGATAATGACGATGGTGGTGGTGATGATGGTGGCCATGATGATGATGACGATGATGATGATGATAATAATGATGATGATGCTGATGATGATGATAATGATGATGATGATGATGATGATGATGATGATTATTATGATGATGCTGCTGCTGATGCTGATGATGATGATGATGCTGATGCTGATGCTGATGCTGATGCTGATGCTGATGATGATGATGATGATGCTGATGATGATGCTGATGATGATGATGATGATGATGATGATGATGATGATGATGCTGATGATGATGATGATGATGATGATGATGATGATGATGATGATGATGATGATGATGATGATCGTCATGGTGCGGCGTGCAGGTGCAGGAGGTGGTGGATGGCATGGGGAGGGGGAGAAACAGGAGGTGGGCAAAGAGAAGGAACAGGCAGATGAGGCGGACGAGGAGGACGAGGAGGAGGAGGAGGGCGACGACGACAACGACAACCATGAAGAGGATAGGAGTAGGTGGATGCGAGGCGTGGCATAGGTGGGGTTGGGGGTGGGGTCAGGACTCCCTCCCCGCGGGCAAGCCGTCTCGCTCACTCTCACCCGCCCTCCCAACACATACGTAGCACCCGAGTCTGGCCCGAGCCTCAGCATATTCAGCAGTCGTCTTTGGATGGGCAGCTACTGGGGGCCAATGCGCCGCCGCCGCCTCCGCCGCCGCCGCCGCCGCCGCCCCTGCTGCCAGATCGCCGCCGCCGCAGCCGCTGCCGCTGCAGCCGCAGCCGCTGCCGCCACCGCCACCGCCGCCGCTGCCGCCACCGCCGCCGCCGCAGCCGCAGCCGCCGCCGCCGCAGCCGCGGCCGCCGCCGCCGCCGCCGCCGCAGCCGCCGCAGCCACCGCCGCCGCAGCCGCCGCAGCCGCCGCCGCCGCAGCCGCCGCCAAGTGTACTCTGTATTGTTTGTTGTCAGGGATGGTGGGGGGAGGCCGCATCGGGTTGGCTGCGCATGCTCCGAATTTGGAGGCCGATTAATGTTTATATCTTTCTTTACGAGGGATGGTGGGGGGTGCCCGCATGGTTCTGGGTTGGCTACCAGTCGCCTGGGGTGGGGGTGTTTATTAATAGGGAACAGTGATCAAGACACCCACCCGCCGGCAAGCCGCCCAGCTCACTTCCACCCGCCCTTCCTACACATAAGTAAATGACGAGCCTGAGCATGTTCTGCGGTCGTCTTTGGATGGGCAGCTACTAGGAACCAAAGCCGACCCCAGGTGCGCGACGTTTGGGCGAGGTGCGCCACGCGCGCCAGGGGCGCCACTCGCGCCAGGCACCCCTGGGGCCCGAGCGTGCCAGGCCAGGTGCGCCCGCGCACGTGACAGCACGCATCGGGAAACATGCCGCCCCCCGCCATCCTTGTCGAAAACCGATGGCCATAATTGTGTCTGCTGGGCTTGCGCACAGCAGACCGAGCGCCACCACCCCCGCCGTCCATGTCAACAACCGCTGGGCAATGATCGCGGGATGGCCTCGCATGGTCCAGATTTAGCCGCGAGGTGCATGAAGTATCGTAGGGGTGGTAGCCCTGCGCGCATCAGGGAATATGCTGACACCCCCGCCGTCCTTGTCAAGAACGATGCGACGTGCTTGCGGGCCTCACGAACATGACTCAAGACTTTGCCCCACTGTGCACTTTGCATTGATTTTTGAAAAGGGGTGGTGGGGGGGGCGCATCGGATTGGCCGCGCATGCTTCACATGTGGAGGCAGAGTGCTGTTTGTATTGCGTTTGACAGGGATGGTGGGGGGCGGGCTGTCAGTGTGTCGGCATGGTGCTTGGTTGGCCCCTGGTCGCCAGGGGGAGGGGGTGTACATTAATAAGGAACAGTTATGGGAGTGGGGTTGATTGGGTGGATGGGTTGGTGGGTGGGGGGGGGGTGGGCGGGGCGTCGGAAGGGTCAGGCGGAGGCAAAATGCCCATACAATAACGCACATCGTCGGGAGCAAACGAGGAGAGGAATACTAAATTGAGAAGGGGAGGTGGGGAGGAAGAGCATAAGGACGATGAGGAGTTGGAGTAGGAGAAAGAGAAGGCGACTGTGGAGTTGGAGATGGCGAACATCTCGAAGTGCCGACGATGTGTGATGTAATCGCCATCGCGTTCCATTCCACAGCGCGGTTTCCCAAAGCGTTGTTGTCAGCATCCGAGTATTCCATCCCATTCATGAGGATTTTCGGCAACACAATACTCAATACTCCATTGCGCGCGTGTCTCTAGTGGTAATGTTAGCCGTCGAACGGGGAGGTCAAAGGCACGACTTTTGCAGTTCTTCGTTCATGGTCAGAGAAGTGTAGCCTACATTGGGTGTCAGGTGCTCTGCACTTTGGTGGTCCGAGCGGCCACGCGGATTCTGGATGAAGTCGAATGAGAGCTGTGCAGCAACGGGTCGCCTCCGTTTGATATGCACGGCCTGCGCGGAGGCGCGATGTATTGGGTGTGATTTGTTTTGCATGTGAAAGTGATGTTGTGAACCACCAAACTCTGAATAAGAAACCGAAGCGCAGAGGCTCAGGAAACGGTTCACGGAAGCCGAGTGGCAAAGGGGAAGCACGGAACCGCCAGGATTCAGCTTAACGAGTAAGACACCCTTTGCCACAGCCTGCTGTGAACATATTTGTTGTGTCTGCTACGCGGTGCATTGCATTGTAGACCCAGGCGGAAAGACATTGGCCAGAGGCACGCTCAACTCCCTTGGCATGCCTTTGGTGCAGGCAAGTTTGCTGTCATTCTACCCCCCCGCATGATCCTTGAGTTGCACTTTGTATTGTGTCTCGGCCGCAGTTTGTAATCGTCGGCGTGATGGTAGGATTCCAGAATCTGCCATGTACGGTGCATGATTGAGGCCACAGGAGAGTGAAGGGACAGGAAGGGATGCGCGAGCATTCGGACCTATGCAAGTGGAAGGGGTACGCTGGCAAGTTTTGCTAGAGGCTGTGCAGTCACGAGCTGGTTCTGGTCTTGATTGTCCAGGTGCAGCCCTCGCGGTGGCCGGCGCCGTGGCTGGCGCGTTGCCGCTGGCCACAGCACCAGCGGAAGCCGTTGCAGCCCCTGCCGCAGTGGCGTCCCCAGCAGCAGGCACTGTCTTGGCAACGGCGCCGGCCACCGTGCCCGCGGCGGCGTACGCGGCCCCTGCCACAGTGGCGTCACCAGCGGCAGGCACTATCTTGGCGCCGGCGCCGGCCACCGGGCCTGTGGCAGCCGTTGCGGCCCCTGCCACAGTGGCGTCACCAGCGGCGGGCACTGTCTTGGCGCCAGCGCTGGCCAACGGGCCAGCAGCAGCCGTTGCGGCCCCTGCCACAGTGGCGTCCCCAGCGGCGGGCAGCGTCGTGACGCCGGCGCTGGCCACAGGACCAGCGGAGACCTTTGCGGCCCCTGCCACAGTGGCATCACCCGCGGCGGGCGGCTTGGCACCGGCGCAGGCCGCCGTACCCGCGGCAGCTGCACCTGCCACAGTGGCGCCGCCAGCGGCGGGCACTGTCTCGGCGCCAGTGCCGGCCACTGGGCCAGCGGCAGCGGCCCCTGCCACAGGGACTTCACCAGTGGCGGGCACTGTCGTCGCGCTGGCGCCGGCCACCGGGCCAGCGGCAGCAGCCCCTGCCACAGTGGCGTCACCCACGGCGGGCGCCGTCGTCGCGCCGGCGTCAGCCACCGTGCCTGCGGCAGCTGCTGCGCCTGCGGCTGGGGCAGGAGCACCCGTTGTGGAATGAATGGCTCGCGATTGTTCCAGCCCGGAGGCCGAGCTTCAGACGCAGAGAAAATCGGAGCTGTCAACTCGTGTTTGCGGCAATGGTACGGGCCACGGGCCGCAGGGCACGAGCGACGGGCCACGGGCGCGGGGCCACGTGTCATGGGGCCAGGGGGCCACAGGCCATGGCCCACGAATTTCAATGCACGGGCCACGCTCCGCGGGCCACGAAGCGGCAGGCCAGGGGCTAAGTGCCACGGGGCGAGCGGCCCTCTTGGCCCCAACCATCACCCATAATTGGCCTTGCCCTCACCATTGCCCTTGCCTGCACCCTGGCCCTTACCCTTCTACCCTGACCCCCAACCGCTTGCACTCCACGCGCTCGATCAACTGTTCACACTTGCTGGACATGCCTCTGAAATTGCACTTGCACTTCCACTAGGCTTGCGCTGTTACATTCGCCCTTGCATGCGAACTCGCACTCACAGCACGCATCCGCATACCCGCATTCATGCCTGCAGTCGCGATCGAGCCAAACTCCCACATTCACCGATGACCTGTACGCGCGCCACGTCCCTTCAGCATCCCTTAGCCGTGCCCTTGCCCTACCTCTGGCCGTCTCCCTCCCTTCATCCCTGTGCTGATCATCCTGACTCTGGCCGCCTCCCTCGCACTCATCCTTAACCTTAGGTCGGGCCTGCTCCCCTACAGGGGGATTTTGGACGAAAAATGAAAAATCCCAAACATGCTCAAAAGATGCCCGAAAATACTCCAAAAATAGTCCCCTGAGTACTTTTTTCCTACTTTTGAATGCTCCCCCTGTAGAGGGACAGGCCCGACTTAACCTCAACCTGACCATCCCCGTGCCCTTCCCATCCCTCACCTCCCAACCCTCCGCACCTCGGCTAGCTCCCTCTCCCCCTACTTGCCCTCGCCGCTTCCGCCTCCCCTTCCTCGTCACCCTCCCTGGCCTCGCCCTCCCGACCTCTCTTCACCTCCTGCTCTTCATCGTCACCCTCCCTTCATCATCACCCTTCGTCGTCACCCTCCCTTCCTCGTCACCCTCCCTGGCGCCTCGCCCTCCCGCCCTCTCTCCACCTCCTGCTCTTCCGCCCTCTCCCGCGCTTCCCGTGCTCCCGCGGCGCCCCAGCGCAGGAGCAAACTCCACGACGACTCCTGCCGCGGGCGCCGCAGCTGGCGCCAACGCCGCCGGAGCCAATGCCACCGGCGCTGGCGCCGCGGGGGCCGCGGGTGCCAACGCTACGGCGGAACCTGCCGGTGCTGCCAATGGCACGGCGGCAACGGGGACGACCGCAAACGGCACGACGGCGGGCGTGACGGCCTCCAGCGCCACGGCGTCGAGCACAGGGGCCGCCAACGGTACAGTGGCGAGCGGGACGACCGCGAACGGCACGGCGGCGGACGGGGCGGCTGCCAATGGCACGGCGGCGGCCGCGGGCGCCGCCAACGCCACCGCGGCGACCGGGACGACGGCGAACAGCACGGTGGCCAGCAGCGCAGCGGCGGCCGCAGGAGCTGCCAATGGCACCGCGGCGAACGGGACGGTGAACGGCACGACTGCCAACGCCTCCTCGGGGTTCTTCGGGTGGCTCTTCGGTGGCCATGCCAACGCCACGGTGGCCGCTGCTGTCCCAGTGGGCAGCAGCAGCAGCAGCAGCAGCAGCAGCCCGGGCGCCAGTCCCTCGACCACGAGCAGCCCCAGCGACCCTCAGACTGCCAAGGCGGGCATCGTCGGGGAAGCAGCCGGGCCATCCGCCGCTCGGAGAATGGGGGCGACGGCAAGTGCATCTCTTGGTTTAAGTGGGGCCCGTCCCTCCACAAGAAGAGTATTCAAACATAGTGCAGCAATAGTCTGGAGACATTCAGAAAACCGACTGTTTTTGAGTATTGTTGGAATAGTTGTTAGACTATTTCTTATTTGTCCTCCAAAATCCCCTTGTAGGAGGACACGCCCAACCTAAGACTAGGGACTAGGGGGGCACTCTGGAATGGGGTGCGACCGTTGCCCAGGGAGGGAAGTCTGCGTCGAGGGGGGGCCGAGGACGAGACACCACGGACTGGATCCAGGAACGTGTGTGCATACTGGCCGACAGCCGATGTGTCGTGAGTAGTACCGACAGTGCTGGATGAGAAGTTACATAGTATTGCTGAACAGCGAGTTGTTGAATTCCTGGTCCCCTCGGCTTTCTCGTCTCTTCGACATTCGCTCTGACATTCTTTTTTCCCGTGTGGTATCGCTCGCATTTTCTTGCCACAATTTGCGAGGTGTCCGAACGCTTTGCGTCTCCCCACGGAATCCCAGGCAAGCGCTCAGAGTCCCAGACGTCTTGCACGACCAAGTCCATATCACATCATAGCTGTTGCGTTCGCCAGCCGCTCCTCGAAAGGTGTGCTGCTCACCTTGGCGCCGTGCCTGTCCGAGATCCAACGTTGCGGAAATTTGCAGCATCGCGAAAAATCACGGCCGGGATCCATAGACTTGCGAGGGTCTCAGGGCACGAGGACGGGCGAGAACGCCGGTTATGGAAAGACGCACAGCGCCAGGGCCTCGGGACTCCCCTTCTCCCCCCTGAGGCCCGCCTCCTTCGAAGCGGCGATGGGCGTCGTGGGGAACGGGTCGACCCGGACGTGCGACGTCCTGATCTTTTTCATCGCGTGGTCCCTGGACGTCTCGGGGGAGGACAGAACCCCCAATAGTGACACGTCGATTAGTGAATTGTCCGTTTTCGGTTTTCGAGAGGGCGCCGTGGCCGTTATTTTCCAGGCTTGCGCCCGCCAGGTTTGGGCCCGAAGTCGTTTTCACTAAACCACGTTTTACTAAAGGGAGGTCTGTCCATCCCCGAACGTCCCGACCCTTTCCCTGGGACCGGTTTCTCCTCCCGGGTCGTTCCTGGACGGCCCGCGGGCCCGGCGAGGGCCCCCGCGGGCCGAAGCGGGGCGAGAACCCCCCCCCCCGTGATTCGGGGGCCGCCGGCGGACCCTGCCCCTGCCCCCCCCTCACGAGTTCTGAGGAGAAGGGGGGGGGGCTCGCTTCGCTCGGGAGCTCCCGATAGCGAAGTGACCCCCCCCCCCCTCCCCCTCAGAATTCTCCAGGGTTCGCGTGATGCGGCCCCCCCCCCCCGTGGCCTCTTGCGACGCGGGCCCTGTCCGGGGACGCGCTCCCCCGCGGCGCCGCGGGGCCTCGGCCGGCCTCGGGCCGTGGCCGCCGGCGTCTCGCGCGCTGCTGCCGCTGCTGCCCCCCCGCAGCAGCTCTCGGCCCGCCCGCCGGGGGCCGCGGGCGGCCGCCCGATCGCCCGGGAGCCTCGGGCGGCGGTCTCGAGCAGGGGCGAAGCGTCCTGGCTCGCCCCGGCCCACCAAGGACTGTGCCGAGGGCCCTCTGCGGTCTGCACGAGCGGTTCTCCGAGCCTTTCTGGCCGCCACGGTGCTGTTTTCTCACGTCGGGTTTCTGTTCATTGCTCCTGCTCTTCGAACATCCGTGGGTTCTAAGACGGACCATAGGAATGCCGGGGCGGTCGGTCCCTGCTCGAGATGGGTGTCCATGCAACCGGGGGGTCAGCCAGAGTGCCACATGTTGTAGGATCCTGCAGACCCAGACCCCCTCGGGTCATGCCAAAATCACAGCGGGAGGTTTTTCTCAATTTTAAGCCCCTAAGGGGGGCCCTTACCAGGCCTCGGGACATTCAAAAAACGATCCAGGATGAAAAACGGGTCCTGGGGAATGGGTCCATACCTCTGGGGGTCGACTTCATGACATCAGGTGCATTGACCCGTGCTTGCGTGCAGGATTTTGCAGGGTCCTGGAGGAGCCTGCAGGAACCCGCAGGAGCCTGGCTGACCTGGGCTTGTGCATGGACCCGGCTCAGTAGATTCCCGACCTTTCCTTCAGATCCAGGCGCCCCACAGAGTAGCGACGCGTGTTTTTGTCGACGTTTACTGCCTCTGGAGACCGTCTCCTGGCTCCGGGACCGTCAGACATGACTCAGGATGAACTGCCGACCCCCTGGAAGAGGTTGAGATCCCCAGGGGCCCACGTCGCGAAAAGTTTGCGCCGTCGGAGGAGAGGGTCCGTCACGCCATGGCCTCGCCGCCATGCTGCCCGCGGGGGTCCCACGGCCCAGCCGCCGCCGACACTGGCTACGCCGCCGAGGGGGCGTGGGAGGAGATCGCCGGCATGGAGGTGTCCGGACGGATGAGGAAGGGACAGCACATCGGCGTGAAGGGTTTTCTGGGGGCCCAGAGCTCCGAAAGATGTTTTCTTCCGTATTGTTTAACCGACCCCCATCCCCATCCTCATCCCCCTCGAGGCCCCCACCAGAATACCACCCCAGTTGGGGATGCACCCCTCGAAACCCGAAGGGAGCGGCCCACATCCCCATCTGGGGGGCAAATCGGCCAGTGGGGCCCAGTCCACGCCGCTGGGGATGGGGATCGGTTAATCGATGCTCATTTCTGGTCGTTGTTCAATCGCGGGCTTTGCCTTCGCTTTTCGGCCTCAGAGGGCCGTCTTCGGGTCCAGGGGGGGCATCGAACGCAGATCTGGGGCGAGCGAGCTTCCCCTGGACCCGCGGACTGTGGAGCAGATCATTCCGGAGGGGAAAAACACACAGACACCAGGAAAACATTGGAACATGTGGGAAGTGGGGGGGAAGACGAACACCCAGAAAATATGGCAAAATATGGGGCGTCCTGGGATTTATGTTTATTTATTTGGGTGTCTCTGGGCCCCTTCAATCATGTCGTCGGATGTCTGAGCATGGTGGTTGACGTTGGCCACAGGTCCACCTCTTTGCGGCGCTGGCCAGATCTCCCGCCCCAGACCGTGCGGCCCCTGCCCAGTGTCTCTCGGTTGTCTCGGTTGTCTCTCGGGCTCTGTGCAGACCGAGCCTTTTCGTGCCACGTCTAGTTCGGGTTCGGTTTTCCCGTTTGTGGTCCGCTTTACTTGCGCGTCCAACGTACATTTCATTCACGATTTTCGATGTGGAAGGCCTCCCAGCGATTGCGCCCCCCCCACCCCCCTCGCTTTCATGATTCCAGCGCATGTGCCCCCCAACAGTTGATTTCGTATTGTAGCAGTGTGTGTGTGTGTGTGTGTGCGTACGTGTTGTGGGGGTAACCAGAGGCAAGCCAGCAGCCGTGGTAGTCCAAGGCATGTGAGACCATCGAAGGCCATGGGATGCCATAGGAGACCATCGGAGGCCAAGCAATAACGGCTGGCCTACAAGACGGGCTTGTGAACCGGGAGGACATAGGAGGCCACAGCAGGCCAATCAAAAATAGGTCGCCGAGCAAGAATTGTCAGCCCCGCAAGACGGGCTTGTGGGCCATCGGGGGCCATAGGTGGCCAAAGGAGGCACTATGATGCAAAGCAACATGGCCGTAGAAGGCCAAGCAACAACGGCTGGTCCTGCAAGTCGCGCCGGTCAGGTAGGAGACATAGAATGCAAGAGGAGGCCATAAGAGGCCTCGCACAAGCGGCCACGCAAGACATGGCGAGTTCCCCACAAGTGGTTCTTCTTAGGGAATCATCTGCACACCTGCCGCCCCCAGAACTGCCACCCAACATGTCGATCCCGACATGACGTCCGTGCTCCCAGCCGCCGGGGCGACGAGAGCATGGTGGACCCTGGCCAGGCCCCTCCGGGTTCCAGGATCGGCTCGTGTGCCAGCCGGGAGGGGGACTAAGGATTCTTTGTAAGGGTTCCCTTGTGTTCCCCTCCTGGGCCTGGCCAGGGTCGGTGTACAGCCAAGACGCTGAAACAAGACTCTTAAACTACTCCCGAATCGACTCTGATTGTCTCCACCCTGAAACTCGATGCCCTAAACCAAACCGAACATGCCAACTCTATAACTTCTTACCCCGAACCCCAAGCCCTGTGAAGCTGTGAATTCAACCTTACTAAACTGAATTCGAAACTCTGGGCTCGATGTTCTTTGGGTCCTTCCATAGCTGCTCCTCGAGCGCTCCTCGTGGACCCAGGTTTTTCTGGTGCCAAAAACGGGCTTCAGCAGCCAGCTGTATCGGAGGTTGAAGGGTGAGGTCGAAGTGAAAAGAAGTCGCCCCACCGGGAACTCGATCTCGATTTCGGTCGTGTCGTGCTAGACGTGCGTGCGGGCGAGGCGAGGGGAGGCCGCGCGAGTTCCTGTTATGGCAGAGGCCCATTCAGGCCCAAATGAGTCGCCGTGTCGCGGTTGTCCCGATGGTTGTCTTGATGGTTGTCCCGATGGTTGTCCCGATGGTTGTCCCGATGGTTGTCCCGATGGTTGTCTCGGTGGTTGTCCCGATGGTTGTCCCACTGTTTGGCCCAAGGGGGCCCCGAGCAGCCCTAGAGGCGCCCGAGACGCCCCAAGACGGTTCCAATAGGGGCCCGAGCGCAGGAGCCCAAAGCGATAAGTCGAGCCTTCCGTCCTAAGATGCCCCCAGACGGCCCAAGAGGACTCGATGAGCGCTCCCCAGATGGCCGCAAGAGGCAAAGACCAGTGATTTTCCTTTGGTTTTTATGTGCTTTCGGAGGTCTCGGCTTTTCGAGCTTCGGCGCTCCACGACGGCTCAAGAGGCCCCCAAGACCGCCCCGAGACGGCCCAAGAAGTCCCCAAGAGGGCCCCTAAGACGGCTCACGAGAACCCCAAGATGGCCCTAGACGCGCCCAAGGCGCCCCAAGAGAGCTCGGAGACGTTCTCAAGAGGACCCACAAATCAACACAAATTTAACACAAACCGTTTCCTCGTCAAGAACGGCGTTATGTAAAATTTGAGTTACATTGTTGGGGTTCTCGGACCTTTTTAGGAGCTCTCTTGGTGCCCCTTTGGGCCCTCCCCTGCTGCCCTCAGGAGGGCCCTAGGAAGCCTCTGGAGGCCTTGGGGGCCCCACAGATTTCCAGAGTCCGGAGGCCCCTGGAGGCCCCGGGAAAGCAAAACGCGCCCCAGAACGTGCAATCGCCCGATCACGTCCACAGATGGCGACCACCACCACGACCACTACGACAACCACCACGAGGATCATCGCGACGGCGGCGGCGGCTGCGACGGCGGCGCCCGCGGGGACGGCGGCGGTGGCGGCGACGGCCTGGAGCCTCTCGGGCCCTCCTCGGCCACCGTGGCAGTCACGGCACTTACGCAGTCTGGGAAACATTCGGAGTTGCACGTCGATCTTCGCACGGCTCTGCGACCGCCCACCGAACCCGAAGCTATCCCCCAGAAGGCCCAGCACCTCCACATGCCAAGGTCGACCTTTGCCTGGGGAATCCCTCCCTGGGCATCTTGGGGTTAGTGGATTGGCGCGAGGTCTACTGACAACGACTGCGAAGTCTGCTAGAAACTAAGTGCGCGCATAGCGCACCCGTGGTGCCATTATGTATATGATATATGTCTAGCTCGTGATACCTAAATATCGTATAACAGTGATGTTGGCATAGGTTTAGATCTACATCTACATGTACACATAGTGCGTCCAGTACAATGTGAGACTGGTATATGTATAGCTACGTATCTAGATATGTAAAAGTTGAAGCCGACATCGCCATCCAGAATTCATACATTACATAGATAGAGCGTACACACATACACACATACATACAACTATACATAGGTACACACGTGCATAGAAACATTCATACATGCATGCATGTGTACATGCATGCATACTTGCACACCGATTTGTATACACACTGGCACACAAGCATATATACATACATATGCGTATAAATATGTATATATATATATATATATATATATATATATATATATTCACGCCTGAATATTTTTATACGCGTATGTATACACGTATATCTACAGACAGACATACATGCATATGCACATATACACGTACCCGCCACTGTGCCTGGGTTGTGGGTCTGATACCTATTGGATGTTCGTTGGGATCTCGTTGGGGGCCTATCGACGGCCTCTCGCAGGCAGTTTTGAAGCCTGTTGGGGGCTGTTTGGGGGCCTCTTGGGTTCTCTTTTGGGCCTCGTGGGGGCCTCTTGTGGCCTCCTGGGCGCCTCATGGGGGCTTGTTGGGGCGGAAGGCTACGATTTTCCGTTCGTTTCCCTCTCTTGGGCCCCTTTGGGGGCCGTCTTGGAGCCCTCTTGTGCCGTCTTGGGCGCCCGTTGGGCCGTCTTGGGCGCTCTTAGGCCGTCTTGGGGCCCGCTTGGAGGCCTCTTGAGCTGTGACGGGGTGGTCTTGGGGGCCTCGTGGGCGTCTTGGAGCCTATGAGAGCAGAAAAGGCAAAAACGCCAACATCTTGCAAAACCACACAGGACATCAATTATTTTTGCCTCCTTGGGCCCTCTTGGGAGGCCTCTTGGAGGCCTCTTGTGGCGTCCTGGAGGCCTTTTGGGTCATCTTGAGGCCATCTTGGGCGTCTTGGAGCGTTTTTTCGGCGTCTCGGGGCCCTGTTGGACCGCCTTGAGGGCCTCGTCGGGCCCTCTTGGCCCGTCTTGGAGCCCTCTTGGCTCCTAAGAAATCATGCGATAAGATGGCGGGAACCCCAGATGGCACGCGTTAGTGCTAGGAACCCCAGGTGGCATGCCGGGAACCCCTGCTGGCACCCCAGGTGACAGCGAGGGGTCGGTTTTTTTTTAAAGAATCTTCAGGAGTGAGGAGTGGGGCTCGAAGGATTCAGCGTAGGACCTGAGGACACGCCCATTCGGTGGCCAAGGGTACGGTGGCGGATGCATATATGTATATGAATACACGTATTTATATTGACATAGACGGATCCTCCGTGATCCGTACGTGCACCTATACATACACACTTGTAGACATATGTATGAACAGATGCACCCACATTTTCGCAGGCACACGCATCTAATGATATAATCACATACGCGTATACGTATACATAGAAGTACATAAGCATGTAATGGACAGCCACCTTGATGCCCCCGATGCGTGCCCATTCGTGGGTTGAATTGTACGCCCAAAGTCAAAGATAACGCCCCCCAACCTCCTTCTCACCCAAAGCGTGGTCTATGAGGTATGATCGAGGGCCGTCGGTCCTCAGGCCGTAGTTGGCGTCCTCCTCCAGGTGTACGTAGTGGGTCGGAGGGAGGATGCTCGGTCGATCTTGTTGGGAGTCAGCGACGTGTTCGGGCCCAGGACGGGCAGGCACCTCCGCATCTGCGACGAGCTGGCGCGCGCGGTGCCTGGCAGCGTCGTCGTCCTGCCGGACCTCTTCCACGGGAGCCCGATCGCCAAGGTCTGGCCTGGGCCCATCAGCTTCACTGCCCTGGAGACCATCCCGCTGCTCTGGCGGATACGCTACCGGTGCGGCTGGGCGAACGTGTGGCCGGACGTGGAGCGGCTCCTGGAGGCCGTGGGGGCGCAGGTCGGGGAGCGTGTGCCCGTGGCCGCCTTCGGCTTCTGCTGGGGCGCATGGCTGGTGCTCAAAGGGTGCACGACTGGGCGGTTCGCCGCGGGCGTTGGCTTCCACCCCTCGCTGGACTGCAGCAGGCTCCAGTCGAGGAGCGCAAAAGACAGCACAGGTACACATTCTGCGAGGTCCGCGTGGATGTCTTGGATCGTCGTTGGGCCCCCCTGTCGGCGCCTCCGGCGCTGCCCCTGGCGCGCGCGCTCCGCGCGCCAGGGAGGGGGTCCAGCGCCGGTCCAAGAAATCCGTGCGGCCTCTGAGAAATTATGCCTGTGCCCTCTTTTGTTCCTTGTGCCCAGCGCCACCCTCACAACACCGACGACGACAGCCTGGCCCGCTCGCTGAGGCTGCCTGCGCGCAAGACTGGCCCCGGGCAAGAGTGACCTTTGGCGCGTGGCCTTGGGAGCCTCGGAGGACCAAGTCCTGGCGCGCAGGCCGATGCTCCAGGAACCCCTGGGGGCCCGCACCAAAGCTCGCTCCTCTGGCGACAGGTCAATCTTGCGCGTCGCCGACGAGGTGCCCCGTCCTGCTGCTCCCCGCGGGGAACGACGCCGCGACGCTGAAGCCTGGGGGCGCCTTCGCGTCCGCCGCGCGGGTGGCGCAGCCGGCCAGCAGCTCCATCTTAGGAGTCAAACTCCCGGGAGGTTACCTTCAGATTCAGCATCGTCGTCGTCGTCCTCCTCCTCCTCCTCCTCCCTCTCCTCCTCCTCCTCCCTCTCCTCCTCCTCCCCCCTCCTCCTCCTCCTCGTCCTCCTCCTCCTCCTCCTCCTCTTCCTCCTTTTTCCTCCTCCTCCTCCTCTTCCCTCCTCCCTCCTCCCTCCTCCCTCCTCCCTCCTCCTTTCTCCCTCCTCCAAAAAAGGTCTGGGGGTACCCGAGTGGGTCCCCACCCCCGTCAACAAGTGGCACTCCCGGGTCCCTAGCCACGAAAACGCCACCTACCGGACACAGCCTGTTGGAGGACTGGCCCCGTGGCATTCCGCCTTTCATTGGAAATTTATTATTATCATTATTATCATTATCATTATCATTATTATGATTATCATTATCATTATCATTTTTTATTATTATTGTTATTATTATAATTAGTACTACTACTATTTTTTATTTTTAGTATTATTATTAGTATTATTTTTATTATTAATATCGTTATGTTTCTTCTTCTTCTTATTGTTATTATTATTAAAGCAATGCAAGGATGAATTCAGGCAGGGGGGGCCTGGCAGGGGCGGCAGGGGAAGGAGAGGGAGAGGAAGAGGGGGCGTCAGGCGGAGGGCGGTCGTGGTGGTCGTCCTGCATGGTGGTCGCGGAAGTTGGTGTGGTGGTGGTAGCCGTAGTAGTCGGAGTGGTGGTGGTTGCCGCCCGCGCTGTGGTAGTTGTGGTTTAACGAGCGAAGGACGGTATAACATAAACTTTTTCGCTGTCGGGGGCGCCTGCCCCTGGGCGGCTGGAAAGTTTATACCTTTACGGTGGCACCGTAGGGGTATAAACTTTCCAGCCGCCCAGGGGCAGGCGCCCCCGACAGCGAAAAAGTTTATTTTATACCGTTCTTCGCCCGTTAAGTGGTGGTTTTCGTGGTGCGGTCGCCGAATAGGTGGTGGTTGTGAAGGGCGCGAAGGTGCCGTGGTCGTGGGGGTCGTGCTGGTTGTAGTCGGTCGCAGGGGTAATGTTAAGATGGGTAGCGGTAGTTAGGTGATGCGCGGGCGTGCTGGTGTTCCTCCCGACACAGGCCCAGGGGTGAAAGCCACCGCACCCTGTATTAGGCGCTTTGCTCGGGCACAGTTGCCGCCTTAGGTGGCGCTCAAGAGCGTGCGCGCCACCGCCACCTCCCGGACCACGCATGTGGATATGGTCCAGTGCAGGGTGCTCAGTGCCTCTTGGCGCCCAGGCTCATCTGGAATTTACCGCGCAAGCCTTTTTCGCGTAAACTCGCCCATGCCCCCCGAGACTTCAAACCCCAGGGGCTGGAAGCCTGCGATGCCAATTTGCTTGCGTCGCTTGGCTTGTTCCGCAAGTCTGGCGGCGGTACCGAGGGTGTGAACCTCTCCAGCCTGCAGTCGCTGCTGCGAGGCATGATGCACGATGGTAAGGTCAAGAAATGCCTACTGGCCATCGCTGTCGGTGCATCTGAGGTCGGCGCGGAGACGTGGGTGACCTGGCCCGTTGGGCGGGCGGACCCAAGGTTCGACTTCGATGCCGAAAATGCTGGCTGGCTTCATGTAGCAGCAGAGTGTGTGGCGTCCGTGGATGTCGGCGGTGTCGCCGCAGGGTGATCCATCCTCCTTCTTGAAGGTACAGGTGCCCTCGGCGGCGCGGACCGGTCCTCCGAATCTATGTCTCAAGACCATTCAGAAGTGATCGTCAGCGAGGTGATGGTCAGGTCGTTTGGGCGGTCCGAGCCACGCGTCTGCCCCCTTGCCTGTCGTGCTGAGGGCCCAGGCCCGCTGGTGCGGCTACGTCTGGGTGCGTCGGAGCCGCTGTGTCCACTCGGCGTGCCGTCTGTGTCCAGTCAAACGTCGTTGGGTGGCGTTGGGCGGCTACGTGTCGGGAGCCTGCTGCGTAGCCTCTCCTTGCGTCAATGCGTGGACGGTGTGCTGGAGGTGTTGTAATACTGGCCAGACGCCAGGGCAGTAGTGGAGCAGGTCCTCTTCGTCGCTGAGCCCCAGCCGTTGCACGACTGGCCTCTAGAACAGGGCCCGCCAGGCTGCTTGTGCGTACAGCCTCGAAGCGCTCACGCTCTGGAGGCCCAGGCCGCCCAAAGCGACAGGGTGTCAGTGTTTCAATTTGTGCTCCACTGTTCGAATAGGGGACCGACCACAGATTTCATTTACCCCAGAATTCATTTGTTCGTCGAGTCTGCGATTCAATACTTATCATCTTCGCGGATCCACGGATATTCTACGTACTTGTCTGCAGAATCGACGAACAAATCAATTTCGGGGCCAGTCAATTCTGTGGTCGATCCCCTACTCGAACTGTGATGTCGTTCGTTTGCACTAGCTGCTCTATGGCGCTTGGGAGTCGGCGTCCAGCTGGAACCCTGGTGGTCCGCATGTGCCACGTCATGTGGCCTGCCGCCAGCATTCGTAGAAGTACCAGAGACGTCTGCACGTCGAGGCCTGCCTTGTGGAGGTCCATGAGTCGGGCCATGGCGTTCGTCAGCTTGGTGCGCTGGTGCTGGGGTCGCTGCGAGGCGAGTGAGTGCATGCTCCTCGGCCTGCTGGTCGGCGGTCGGCGGCGTCTGTGACAAGCCGGAGTAGTCGTCTGCGTGCTATCGGAAGGTCGTGGGTTGTTCTACTCGTGGCGCAGGCAGGTCTGCTGGCATCGCGGCAGGATCCTTCGCCCAATTTTTGCATTTTTCGGCACGGATTCGGAGGCCAGCTTGGTACAGCGCCTTGGTGTAAGTTGCGTAGATAGCGGAGAGGTCTTCGGGCTTTGCAAGGATGCTGAGGTCGTTGACGTAAGCGAAGAACTCCTCCTCCCTCTTCCCTCCTCTTTGAGCCCCTCAGCCTTTACGTACATGATTCCACGTGGTGAAACCAGCAGCAAACAAATAAGTGCGGACAAACACAGCACCTCCCCTCCCCTTGATGGGGATACTGCGGCTGGAATATCCAGCTGCCTGCGGTAAGTCCCGCCGCCGTGCCAGTCCAGCCTTCTGGGCGGCGACTGTTCGAGGGGGCATGGGAGGCAGTCACGTGTGACATCATGTGTCTCCAGGCTTGGGAGAGCCGTGAAAATATGATGAGGATTATGGGGATGAATGATGATGATGACGATGATGACGACGATGATGACGATGATGGTGATGATGCTGATGATGATGATGATGTGGATGATGGTGGTGATTGGTGATGATGATTCAGGTGCTGATGGCGATGATGATCGATGACTGCGAGTATGATGGCGATGCTTGGATGAGGATGATGATGATTTTGACGACGGTGATGTCGATTGCGATGACGATGATGACGATGATGATGCTCATGATGGTGATGATGATGATGTTGTTGTTGATGTTGGTGATGATTGTGATGAGATGCTGATGCTGATGCTGGGAATGGTGTTGAGTATGATGATGGTGACGATAATAAGAGCGATGCCGAAGACGACGATGATGATGCTGATGCTGATGATAGTGATGATGGTGATGATGCTGCTGCTGATGATGATGGTAATGATGATGATTATAATGACGATGCGAATGATGATGATGATGATGATGATGATGCTGATGATGATGATGATGATGATGATGATGACGACACTGATCATGATTTTGATGCTGATTATGATGATGATTGTGATGCTGATGATGATTATGATGCTGATGCTGATGGTGGTGGTGATGATGATGCTGATGATGATGCTGATGGTAGTGCTGACGGTAACGATGATGCTGATGATGATGAGGCTGATGCTGATGCTGATGCGGCTGTTGTTGATGATGATGATGATGATGCTGATACTGCTGTTGATGATGATGGGGATGATGACGACGATGACGATGACGATGATTATGATGATGATGGTGATGATGATACTGCTGATGTTGATGCTGCTGCTGCTCATGACGATGATGATTTTGATGATGATGATGATGATGATGATGATGAGCATGATGATGATGCTGCTTATGATGATGATGATGATGATGATGATGATGATGATGATGATGATGATGATGATGATGATGATGATGATGATGATGATGATGATGATGATGCTGATGATGATGATGATGATGATGCTGATGCTGATGCTGATGATGATGATGATGCTGATGATGATGATGATGATGATGATGATGATGCTGATGCTGATGCTGATGATGATGATGATGATGATGATGATGATGATGATGATGATGATGATGATGATGATCATCATGAAACTCGTTTGGACCGTCTTGGGGCTGTCTTGGCCTCCTGTGAGGCAGTCTTGTCGTCAGTGTCCCTGGGGGCCCTCTTGGGCCGTCTTGGGCCCTGTACAGCCGGCTTGGGGTTCTCTTGGGTCGTCTTGTGGCCCTCTTGGCCGTATGGTGAGTGCCTATGGGCCGTCGTGGGGTCGTCTTGGCGTCGTCTTAGGCCGTCCAAGGGCCTTCCAAGGCCTTCTTAGGTCCCACGGGAGGGGGCTGTCTTAGATGCCGCTTGGGCCATCGTTGAGTCCTCGTGGACCGTCTTGAGCTGACGACAGCCCGACAAGGCGAGAACGCGATCATCATTCAAACACCTTAAGGGCACCCTACGTTGGGCTTCTTCGGACCCTGTTAGAGGTCCCCTATGTGGCTCTGTCGGGCCCTCTTAGAGGCATCTTGGGCCGTCTTAGCGCAATTCTCGGCCGCCTTG